TTTTTCTTGTAATCCTTTTGCCTTTGTTTTATTTTTTTTCTTGTCGTCTTTTTTGTGCGTATGATTTTTTTTCTTCTTTTTTGCTCTTGCATGATTTAAATAAATCAAATACATCATATTACAAATTGAATATATAATATCTTTAATATGATTCTGCTGAGAAAAATGAACGAGATTGAAAGATCTTCAGTATTCATTTGCGATGAGTTATAATTAGAGTTCTTATTTATGAACATATTTATTTGATAGTTCTAACTAATCGAATATATTAAATAAAGTGATATATAAAAAAAGTTTTTTAGAAATATTAGTAATAACAAACACTTAATATAGAAAAATAAAAATGTTTAAAGTTAGAGAGATAAATTAACAAGTTTGTAATAAAATCTTTAAATTGTCAGTACCATAGTTAGCGACTGCAAAATCTAGTTTTTTATCATTGTTGAAATCACCAACAACAATAGAAAATGGAAAAGATCCATAACTAACGAAATATACTTTTGAATCAGTAAATCTACCACCACCAGATCCAAACAATATAACTACATTACTGGCAAGGTAATTAGCGACAATGATATCTAATAAGGCATCATTATTAAAGTCACCAATAGCAACTGAGTAAGGTTCAGTATTAATTCCAGTTGAATATATTGTTTGATTTGTAAAAGATCCATTACCAAAACCGAGAAAAACACTGATATTACTATCATTAATATTACTGACAATAATATCTAATCGGCTATCGTTGTTTAAATCAGCAACAGCTAAAGAACATGGACCAGAGCCAGTTGCAAAAGTTGTTTGATTTAAAAAAGAATTATTGCCAAATCCAAGAAAAATACCAATATTATTGGTGCCTGAATTTACGACAGCAATATCCATATAAGTGTCATTGTTAAAATCGCCAACGACAGATGATCGCGGAATAGACTTGTTACCAGTTATCAGTGTCGTTTGATATCGAAAATTCTGATTTAAGTAACCAAGAAATATACCTATATTTCTGTCAGCTCCATTAGCAACCACAATATCTAGCCGAGTATCATTGTTAAAATCACCAACAGCTACAGATTGTGGACCACTACCAGTCGAATACGTAGTTTGCTTTGCAAAAGAACCATTGCCATATCCGAGAAGTACACTTATAGTGTTATCATTCTGATTTGCAACGACGATATCCAGTAGATTGTCTTTGTTGAAATCATCAACAACTACAGATAGTGGAAAACTACCAGTTGAATAGATATTTTGATTTGCAAAAGAACCATTGTCATATCCGAGAAGTACACCTACAGTATTGTCATCATGATTAGCAACGACGATATCCAGTAGAGTATCATTGTTGAAATCACCAACAGCTACAGATTCAGGACTACTACCAGTTGAATACGTAGTTTGATCTGTAAAAGAACCATTACCATATCCGAGAAGTACACTTATAGTGTTGTCAAAAACATTAGCAACGACGATATCCAGTAGAGTGTCATTGTTGAAATCACCAA